CCCCGCCCGTCGCTCCTCCTTTTCACCTTAGTCCCTCGCCGCCTGTTGCCCTGCTCCCTGTTCGCCGCTCCTCTTTTCATCCTAGCCCCGCCCCCACTCCGCTCCGCCCTGAGTGCCCCGCCCTTCCCTCCTCCCACTCCTTCCCCGCCCCGCCCTCTCGTCCTCTGCGCAGGGTATTGTGGGCTGGGTCATCCGCTGGAGGCCTTGTCAGGACTACTTTTCCCAGGAAGCTGTGTGCGCCGCTGGAGCTTCTGGGAGTTGTAGTCCGTGGGGCGGGGACTCCGCGTCCCATCATGCAGTGCGCAGCCGCCGATCGGGGGGGTTTGGGCCGAGGGTCGCGGCGGCTGCGGCCCTGGTCCGGCCGGGCTGGGTTGCTGAGCTGAGCAGGGTGCTGGCCCCGAGGCGATGATGGGCAAGGAGGAGGAAATTGCGCGGATCGCCCGGAGGTTGGACAAGATGGTGACCAGAAAGAGCGCGGTGAGGGGCGCGGGCCGCCAGGACCCCGGGTCCCAAGTCCCGCCGAGACCCCATCGTGCCCACCGCAGGCGGGACGAGATGTCGCCCTGGCCCAGACCCCCGCCCCGGGCCCGCCCTCCACCTCGTCCCCGGACCACGGCTCTGGATTAGACGCCGCCCCGCCCTGCCGGCCCTCCCGCCCGTAGGCGGCGGGAGGCGTTCCTGTCCTGGCCCGGCTTCTCCTTGTCTGTCACAACCCTTAAGAACGAGGTTCCTCTAATAAATTCTCTCCCTCCCTTAGCCGGGCCGCAGCCAGCAGCCAGCGGTGTGGGCAGGTGGTGGAGAGCGGAGTAGGGCCGGCTCTGCCCCTGCAGCCAGACCGCCTGACTGCGGATGCTGAGCCTCATAGGAGGCGTGCGAGGCCTCCAGGGTCCAGCCCAGCTTCATACGTTGGCAACCCGTGCAGCCTCCAGGGAGCATCCTTTGCGCATCCTGCATCCTGCCTGGCTCGGTTGGGGAGGGGTCTGGAAGGAGCCCGCCAGCGCACTGAATGGGACCGCGCCCCCACGGGACAACTCCGGGTGGTGAAGGCGGCTGAGTCACGGGCTTTTCAGGCCTGCGTAGCCTGCCCAGGGCTGTGACTTCAGTGTGGGTCGGGGTAGCTATTTGGAACAAGCAGGGTTGGGCCTGGGCTCCCGTTGGCCATGGTCGGGCCTAGGGTGTACACCAGGAAGGGGGCAGGCTCCCACACATGTGTTTAAGCTGGAAACAACCCCGCCAAGACTGTGCTTACTTACCTCTGGGTTATGGTGGACAGCAGAGAGGGAGTGAACAACAACCTGCTGACCGTAGAAAGGTGTTTTGTTCCTTGAAGGAACCCTAAGTGGGAGGGGGCTGAGATGTGATGTGAGGGGAGGTAGATGGGCTTGATGGGGGAGAGAGGACCACTGGCAGGAAGACCTGGTGGCCTCCTGGCACTTTGTTGGACAAGGGCTGGTGGTGATGAACTGAACCATGATGGTGACCTGCCCCTGACCAGTCTGTCCCTCTCTTTTCTGACAATGGCAGATGCTTCTGATGGCAACACATGAGCTGGCAGGAGGGGTGACAGGGCATGGATGGCTGGTGGAAGCACAGCATGAGAGGATGCAAAGGAGGGGCCTCCAGGGTTCTTGCAGCACTTGAGAGGACCCTTGGGGACTTGTGGCTTTAGTGTGGTTTTTATGACTCTCTGGAGCTGTGTCACCTGGTGCACATAGCTGCAGGGGAGGACTGCCTTTGCCTCTGGGGGATCACCTGTCCTCCCAGAGGTCACCTCAGGGCTGGTCTTTGCAGGGCCAGAGGGGTAGGATCTACCTTGGTGGGGTAAATAGGGGGTGCCTTAGCATAGAAGTCACACATACTGGGGCAGGCCAGCTTCTCTACCTGAGTGGCTGTGGGTTGTCTTGGCCCCCTTGTAGTGTGGGGAGACACAATGTGAACATACAGCAGGATAAAGTGATGTGGTTTGTGGAGGACAGCAAGGCAGGGGCAGGGTAGGGTATTACATGAGGTGAGTCCTAAGTAGGAGAAGGTGTTTGAACAAGCTGGGGGGCATGAAATCTGTCAATGTGGTGGTGGGGGGGTATTGGGCAGAGCATCTTCAGGAGCAAGGGTCCTGGGGTGGCACCCTTAGGGAATATGGAGGAGCCTGTCTGCTGTGGAAGTGTGATGAGGATTTTAAGGAAATAAAGATCTTGGGCAGGGATGGAGCAGAGGAGGGAGACCAGGGGATTTGTTGCAAGGTCCAGAGGAGGGATGGGGGCTGTCCTGGCGGGATGCATGAGGAGTGGGACTGTGAGCCTTGTGGGTGCTAGTTGTGGTGTAACCAGAGTGAGGGTTCCCTAAGGGTTTGGCCTTCTGAGCACTATAAGGAGAGGCTATCCTACCCACCAGGGCCTGGATGGGACAGGGGGCCAAGGAACTTAGGGTATACCTTCATCTGGGTGTGTTCCTTACTACTGGGAAGGAGCTGTGGCCCTTCTACTCTTCTTGTTTGGTCAATGACCTGATGTTGAGTGAGGTCAGGGAGGTCATTGCCAGGGATGTGGGTTGGGAAGCCATGTTACCTGTGAGGAGTGAGACTACAAAGCCCTTCCTTCTCCTACCCTGAGATAGGGGCAATAAAGGCCCCCTGCCATGGGGCAGAAACTCTCTTGGTGCAGAGCTCTGAGCATCTCCTGGTGGAATAATTATGGTTTCCTTCTGATCTCCAAATTGTTACTGCCTTGTGTTTTCCCTCATGGGCAGGAGGTAAGATTGTCTGCTGAGGCCTAAAGTCCCTTTATGAAGGTCCTTTCTCCTTCCAGGAGGGAGCCATGGACCTGCTGCGGGAGCTGAAGGCCATGCCTATCACTCTACACCTGCTCCAGGTAGGCCCTGCCTGCTGCAGCCCAGCACAGTTCCAGGAATAGCCATGCCGCCGGCATGTGGCAGGGCTTCCTATGCCTACCCCCACCCTAGGGTTTGGTTGGCACAAACACCAGTTTTGAGGAGAGGGTCCCTGCCTTTCTCTAATGCTTGATGAGGCAGGGAGGGTACATCTGAGAATAACCCATGTCCTGGGTTCCACGTGGGACAAGAGCCACTAAGAGAGGTGTCTACTTCCTCATGACTGGTCCCCAGACCCTGTCTTATAGAAGCCACCAAGGGTCTGCTAAGAGGGTTTGACTCCTGGGATGGATCTCCACCATCTCCCAACCTAGGCCACTTGCCTTGCAGTCCACCCGTGTTGGGATGTCTGTCAACGCCCTGCGGAAACAGAGCTCGGACGAGGAGGTCATTGCGCTGGCCAAGTCCCTCATCAAGTCCTGGAAGAAGCTCCTGGGTGTGGGTCAGGCCACATGCTGGTTCAGGGGACACTTGGCCTCTTGCTGGCTGTGCTACCCTGAGCTGGCCTCCTGGAAGTGGGCTACAGGAAGTCTGGAGCCAAGCTCAGGGTGGAAGTGGACCAATGGGTGCCCATCAGTGATGGGTGGGATAGTCTGTAGGGCATGACTATTGGAACAAAGGTGTGTGTTGGGGAGTGATTTCCATATAGAACAGGTAGAGAGCAGAGTCAAGTGCAGAACCTGGACTGAACATTGAGGACATCCAGGAGCCCTAGAAGGAGGGAGTTGGGCTGTTTTAGATCACACAGAGGAGAAGAGTAAGGCCAGGATGCTCCAGGTTCCCAGTGATGGAGAAGGAGGAGATGGAGCTACCACTAGAGAAAGTTGGGTTGAGGGAAGATGGTTTCCTCCTGGGGACAGGATGCCTGGGCGGCACAGATCCCCCATGGGGTAGGGAGGTAGCCTTGTTTCTGGACCTGGGAAGGACCAAGCCTCTCCTGAGTTCTGTCCACACCCTTGAGAGATGACCATCATCTCTTGAGACTTTCCAGTTGTGTGGCCTTTGGGAGTACCATATTCATGTCCTAGTCCCCAAGGCAGGCCCTGGATGGGCAGGAGGGGGCCCTGGAGGGGCCTCACAGTGAGCTGCTTGAGTGGGGAAATGTGAGGGGAGGTAGATGGGCTTGATGGGGGAGAGAGGACCACTGGCAGGAAGACCTGGTAGCCTCCTGGCACTTTGTTGGACAAGGGCTGGTGGTGATGAACTGAACCTTGATGGTGGCCTGCCCCTGACCAGTCTGTCCCTCTCTTTTCTGACAATGGCAGATGCTTCTGATGCCAAAACCAGGAACCGGGGGAAGGGCACACCTCTGCCCACATCATCCTCAAAGGATGGCTCAGAGGCCATGGATCCCAGGTAGCATACCTGAATTCAGGTGTACACCCTCCTGCCTCAGCAGAAAAAGGGTGCTGATGCTCATGTGCTTAGGCACTGCACTGAAGGAGGGGCTTTCTCTAAGGATGTTTGTCAGCCTCCTGCTGGGCACTGTGTCTCACAGCTGAGACTCCCTGCCCTAGCCATCTGAGGTGGGTGGCCATGTCTTCCCAGAGGTCAGTGAGACCCCTGACATACATCTTCCTCAGCAGAGAGCTGCTATACATCTGATCCTCTGTAGGAACCCTCTGCCTGCTTCCTCAAGACCCTGTCCTGGTCTAGTTCTCACTGGCCTGCTCTGGATGTCCCCTTCAGCCTGGTGTCACTTGAGGCTGGAACCCCTTCTACAAGATCCTGCTCAGAATCAGAAGCAGGGTGTCTGATTCCMCTCTCCTGTCCTGAAAGTATATGTGGCCATCACTGTCCCCAGGAGGGAAGTCAGGTTCCTGTTGCTATGGAGACTGGGAATTCTGCTGGTGACAGGCTGTGGTTGAGGGTCGCTTTGCCCTTGACCAGTCTGGGCAGTAAGTGAATGCAGGCTGGGCCCTGGTCAGGACAGGCTGAACTTTGGGCAGCTCCTACGTCATCTTTCCTCCAGGCAGCTATAGGTCACTCCCTGTCCTTGGTTTGCCATCAACAGAGAGAGGTGTTTGTAAAGTGGCCCATGGTTGGGTCCTCTGCAAGGGGAACACTTTAGAGGTGTCAGGAAATCCCCAGCTCATTTTGAGCAGCTGGGGATGCTGCACAGATCATTCTGGGAAAAGAATCCAGCATTCTGTCCCCATTTGGGGAGTGAGCCCTGATCACTAGGGACTTTACAGTCTACTTCTTCCTCTGGGCAGCTGGGCAGGATAGGCCATTGCCAGGGCCTGTCAGGGTACAGCAGATTGGCTTTGAAGGTGGGGATGGTGCCATGACATTTACTTTTCTGGGGACCAGCATCCTACTAGGGTGCTTGTGGCCTTAAGTCTAACCCTGTCTCTCCAGCCGCAAGAGGCCGGAGCTGCCCAGGATGCTGTCCACCCCAAGGATTACCACGTTTCCCCCAGTGCCTGTTACCTGTGATGCTGTGCGCAACAAGTGCCGGGAGATGCTGACCACTGCCCTGCAAACAGACCGTGAGTGCCTGGCAGGTCCTGGCTGGATATGCACCCAGACTCACAGGGTGGCCTGCCCCTGCCTGCTGTAGAGACCTGCTTCAGGGATGTGGTTCTCTTCCCCCAATCTGTTGTGACCCTGGAGGAGGCAGGAGGTGTTTGGGGTTACCAGAGAACCTGGATCCTGGGCAGTGACCCCAGGGATGTGAGTGTATCTCCTCGCTGCCAGGGTTTGGTGCAGGCAGAAAAGCAAGTGGGTGGCAAGTGAGGGCTCCCTCTTGCAGATGACCATGCGGCTGTTGGTGCAGACTGTGAGCGACTGTCGGCCCAGATTGAGGAATATATCCTTTGTGCAGGGATTTTGGGGCCCAGGGCTTCTGGTGGTCTATAGGCTACTGGCCCAAGGTCCCCTTGGTGGCTGGGGGATACCATTGCTGGGCTGCCCTGTGCCTCTCTGGATCATGGGGTGGCTAGCCCTGGGAGGGCCCTCCCTGGAGGAGCCAAGAGGCTGGCATGGCCTGCTGGTGGGGCCTAGGTCTCAGTTAGGAATGTGTCTGGGGGAGGTGCAGCACTGTGGCCCCTCAGCTCCTCACCAGGCTGGGTGGGTAGAGTGCTCCTGTGTATCTGGGCAGAACATCCCCACATAGCCCCCAGCAGGGCAGGTGGAGCACAATGGCCTCATGGGTCCTTAAATGCCCGCACGCATCTTCCGGGATGTGGGAAACACAGACATGAAATACAAGAACCGTGTGCGCAGTCGCATTGCCAACCTGAAGGATGCCAAGAACCCTGACCTCCGGCGGAATGTGCTGTGCGGTGCCATAACCCCCCAGCAGATTGCAGTGATGACATCAGAGGTGAGCCCCACTGCAGGGGCTGGGGGCTGCTTCTGTGGGGCTGCAGGCTGAGCACTTGGCCCCTCACCCCAGGAGATGGCCAGTGACGAGCTGAAGGAGATCCGCAAGGCCATGACCAAGGAGGCCATCCGCGAGCACCAGATGGCACGCACAGGTGGCACTCAGACAGACCTGTTCACCTGTGGCAAGTGCAGGAAGAAGAACTGTACCTACACGCAGGCGAGTGGCTGCCACTTCCTGAGCCCATGTCTTTGGGCATTCATACTCTCCTTGGAGCCCACACCTGTCACCGCCTGGCTGGGTGGGGGCTGCTCTCATGCCTGGACTTAGGCCAGGGCAGAGGCCCAAGTGTGGACTTCTGCATTTTCAGGGCCCTCATTTTCCCAGGACTCCCAGCCTAGAAAGTAGTGTCTCAGGTGGGAGTCCCACTTGATCTGGGGTACAGAAGCTGGAGGGCTGTCCTGCCTAGTACAGGAGACATGAGGGTGTCAGTGCAGGCAGGATCCTGACCCTGCTGTGGAAGTGGATGCCGAAGTGTCTGGGGAGACAAGTGATGGTGGGAGCTTGGGAAGAAGGTAGAGGTTATAAGTCTGGTGAGGCTGCGGAGGCCAGTGAAAACTGCTGTTTCCCTGTGGAAACAAGGCCCCAGCCCTGCAAGGGGCCTTGGTCTGTGCAGGGCTGTCTTGGTTTCCCATGGTCCTGTGGGATGAAGCTTGCCCTTGTGCCTCCTGGAAGGTGGCTATGGTCACTGGCATCCCTGCTAGTCACCCCAATATGGGGTCCCTCCTATTCTCAGCTGACAGTCTTAGCTTTGCTAGGCCCTTCGGACCCATACAAGGACTTCCCCATTGGCGGCTCATGTACCAACAGGCTCAGCTCTGGAAGACTGGGCATTCTCAGATCAGGTCACCCAGGCTGCCCCAGGGGCTGAGGCCAGCACTGCTTAGGTCAAGGGACACCCTTTGCAGAGATTGGTGGTGACCCTGGGCTCCACCTGCCCTACAGGTGCAGACCCGCAGCTCTGATGAGCCCATGACCACCTTTGTTGTTTGCAATGAATGTGGAAACCGCTGGAAGGTAGGTGGGTGGGCTCAGGACAACCCCCAACCCTATTCTCTGTAAGTGGGTACCTTGGCTTCCGTAGGGTCTGTGGTCTGAACCAGGGATGGCCATGCCCAGCCTGCCTCCTAGTCATTTCAGGGATGGTGGGGGTGGGTGGAGACCCCAGCCCTGGAGGTCCTGAAACCATGGCTTGGTCACCTCACTGCTTCCCTGCAGTTCTGCTGAGCACTTGTGCAGTTGCGCTATAGCCCCAGGTCCTGGCCATGCTGCCCCTCCTGCATTCTTGGTGGACACAGCTTCTCTGGAGACCCCCAGTAGGCGGCATGCCCTGCCCCAGCTGCCTGGTGTGCACCTTTCTGCCCTTTGCCCTGTTATTAAATGTTTTGTTTGCCATCCTTGGGCTTTGCTCCTGGTGGGCTGTACACAGGCTTCAACTGAGCCTATCTGTTTCTTCTCTGCTGCTGTGGACACCCAACTCTTGGGCTTAGCCCTAGCAGGGCAGCTTCAGAGGCAAGAGCTTAGGCGACTTTTGGAGAGATCACCTGTGCCATGAGGCTAGGATGATGGGGTGGCGCTGCCTCTCCTGAGTGTGCCATGGGGCAGGCCCTACCGACTTGGCTGAGGGCAGGTGGGGAAGGGGCTTTGTATATACAGACAACCTGCTCAGCACCCACCCATGGGATGGGCAGCCAGGGCTCAGCCCCCTCTTTAGGACAGCCTGCCTCATCCTGCCTCCACTGAGGGAGGCAGAATGCAGTTTGCCCCAAGGGAGTGGGGTCCTGGCCCTTGGCCAATTCCTGCTTGAAGTCATTGAAGCTCCCAGAAATTCAGAGGAATGAGATGATGCCTTATGGAGCCTGTGATGAAGACAACATTGTGACAGCACCAAGGGACTCTTGGGAAGGTTGCCTCCTTAGTGGCCACCCCTCTGGGAGGTATAATACCTACCAGGGACTCCTGCAGTCTGTGTCAGCTCAAGCCTGATCCTGCTTCAGGGCTCAGGAGGCAGACACCAGGTCTGGAGCCCACCTGGGTGAGGCTGAGTTCAGCTTCCAGAGGCCACTGCTGTGGGGAGGGTCTGGGAGCAGTCAAGGATGATTCCTCATTTTCCTGTCTCCCCCCACAAAGCGGGCATAAATATAGGCTTCTGTTTCAACTACACCTTCAAGAATAAGATCTCATTTTGGGGGTGTAGGAATGGAGATAAATATGAAAACTTTTTTTTCTTTCTTGGTAAAACATACAGTAAGGAGATGTTTCCAGGATTAGAGTTCATGAATATGTAAAATATATTCAGGTCCTGTCACTTGAACCTGGTTCTGGGTCTGGTTCTGCAGTGCAGACAGCTCAAGTAGGAGGGTCTCCTGCTACCAACAAGAGACATGTCCTGGGCAGCAGCAGGCTGGTGAGGGGTGGAGTCATGGGTGTGGCACTTCCCCCTGGGCCTGGGCTGCTTCCAGGGGTGGAGATCCTGGGCCAGCCACGTGGGGGCCACTAGTGTGAGCCCTGAGTCTGCCCACCAGAGGGTGGGGTTCCTGAGCCCTTTGGAGCCTAGGCCTCCGAAGAGGACTGTGGGGACCCCCGGAGCAGCAGGGTGCGGTAGGCCGGGGAGCTGAGGAAGCGAGGGTAYGAGTCCCTGTGCATGAGCGTGTAGATCTGCAGCTGTGCATCATCAAATGTGTGCGCGGACGGCTCCTGCATCTTCCTGTTGATGCCCTCCCGCACTCGGGAGTCCAGGCTCACCTGTGGGACGGGGCACCGAGGTCAGAGGCATCCTCCCCAGGCCACCCCAACCCGTGTCAGCAGCTGGCGCACCTCCTTGGGGGACAGGATGGACACGTAGTCCTCATAGATGAGCCGCGCCTTCTCATCCACCACGTGCTGGTTGGCCTCTGCCTTCAGCTCCTCGCAGGCCAGCCAGAAGAGCATGTTCTCCTCGCTGTACTCTGTCCGCAGGAAGGCGCGGAACACACTGCGGCCCGCGGGGCTGTGCATCAGCTTGTCGAAGGACTGTGCCCAGCTCTGTACCTCCTCAGGGCTTGGGGGGGTGCTGAAGGCAGGGACAGAGCACATTAGGCCTGTCCCCTCCTGCCCCTTGACACAGATGCCCCTGGCGGCAGAACTCACCAGGCATCACAGCTGGGGAGGGGCTGCAGCTTGCTCTCCTGTGAGGCCTGCCATGCTCGCCGCCGCTCTTGGTTCCTGGCAGCAGAGAGGAAGGTGGCTCTGCCCTGGGCACCTGGGACTTCCACAGGTGCTGCCATAGCCTCATGTGGCCTTGGCATGTGAGCAAGCGTGATCTGTGCCTGGCACATGTGTAAGGAGCATGGTCCTGAGCACTGGATCTTTCCACACTTTCTGGGGCYCTTACTGAATCCACTTATACAGGCTGATGTCCTGGCCATAGTACCCAGTACTCCTTCCTGGTACCCATAGTACTTCTTCCTGGTCAGTAGTTTGACCATCTGTGCTTCTGTGGCTCCTCAGCTTCTCCCCTTCCCTGGCTTAATGGGCAGGATCTAGGGCTTCTCAGCCTGACCTCTGTTTGTCTCTTTCTGAAGAGGCTACTCACAGGCCCACACTGCAGGCCTGATATCAATAATTGGAACTGCTGGTTGATGCAGGGTCAGAACCTTCAGTCTGTGTGTTTACATCTGTCTGGTCCTGGATCCTGACCCTGGCTCCAGTGGAAACTTGTTCTGTCAGTGCTGGCCCCAAGTCTATGCCCAGCCAACTGCTACGTTGGGGGACAGACATCTAAAGCCCAAAGGTCTAGATACACTGTGTTCCTGCCACATCCTGTTTCTCGGTAGACACAGTCCCCACCCTGTTCTGTCCCTTGAATTCATGGCTGAGCCCCTTGCCTGGGCTCAGGCCTTGTTGTTACTGTTTAGTAGACTCCATTGGGTCCCCAACCCTGAGGAGGGCCAGGCTTCTGCAAGGCCCATGATCCTCCGCTTCCCTACATACCTAAGGGAATCCTGTCACCACCTGGAGGCTTCACTGCTTCCCTTGTGCAGATACCTTGGGTGCTAGGACTGCTGTTCCCTCAGCTGGGTCTCTGCTCAAATGTGCCCTACTGCAGGGTCTGGGCCTCTTGTGTTCCTCTGGGCTCCTAGGGTGTTGCCTGGGCTGGCTCACAGAGGCATTGATGGGTGTGTGCAGTATGCTCCCGTGTGCATGCAGCAGGCCTGGTCCTTGCACATGGGGAGCCCTCAGTACACCAGGCACAGGAGTCACATAAAGTCCTCCAGGGGGCGAGGGTGCTGGCCACCAGGGCCCAGCAGTCCTGGGACAGGACAATGCTTTGAGGTGGAAAGGGCCAACTGCCCACAGGTGATGCCATGGAGCCACCCATGAGTCCCTAGAGTCCCTGGGTTTGGCCCCTCTCAGTGAACTATGCCCCCCAGGCCCACATACCAGGAGCAGCTGCAGCAGCAACACCAGCACAAACAGCAGGGGTTGCGGCTGGGGGCCGCCGGGGGGACCACATCATGGCTGGACATTGGGGGGGGCCTGTCCGCCTCCTCTGGCCCTGTGTGCTGGGAAAGATGGGGCTGCCTTAGCCTCTAGGGCAGAGCCCACTGGASCCGGCATCTGGCTATGCTCCCAAGGGCATGACCCTCAGCCCCCAGATACCCTGGAGATTCTCCCAGCTCCTCTCCCTGCTTGCCCCCCACCCTCCCTGGGGCAGAGGTGAGGAGGAAGTGGCTTACCTGCTTCTCAGCCTCATGCGGGGTGGGCATGGGTGAGTGGAGGGGACTGCCCAGGTTCTGTGGTGCCAACTCCAGGACCTTCACCACAGCCTGGGGAAGGGGGTCAAGCTCACTAAGCACCTATGACTCTGGCCCCTGCCTATTCTCTAGGTCCTAGAAGAGATGCCCCTTCCAGAGTTTTTGCCTCCAGCCTTAGTTTACACTAGGGCCAGGGGGCAGACCCAGGTCAGTGAGGAAGGGGCTGCAGCAACCTTTGGCTTCTCACTCTAGACTGGGCCCCAAATGAGGCACCCACAGGAGGTTCCAGGACACCCCCATCCGCTCAGTCCCTGGGAAGCCGGAAGCCTGGGTTCCTCTTTCTTGGTTTCCGGCTCGTAGCCCCTCCCAAGGGGGCTGGRGCTTGAGGCTGGTGTATGGTATGTGGGGGTGTCAGACACTTGGACCTATTTCTTACCCCTAGGGTCTTTCTACCTAGACTATGGGGTTAGAGTGTGGGCAGAGGTGCTCCCCACCAAAAGGGACCCAGAGAACTCTGACTACTCACCTGGGACTTGGTCAGAGGGGCAGCTAGGCCTGCAGCATTGAGGACGTGAGTGGGACTTGAGGAAGGACTTCCTGAGGGTGTGGGGAGTGGAGCATGCACTGGTGAGGAGGAACGTGTATGGGGAAACAAGGTTCCTTGGTCCTCAATGCCTCTTACACCTTCCCTCCAACACTGTGGGCTCCCCTTCCCTCCCTGCCCAACACCTCCAGAAACTGCAGGGTGTTCGAGTCAGGGAAGGAGGCGGGGGTAGCTCCCCAGTTGGAGCCTCAGTGTCCCTGGACCACCAGTGAGATGTACAGGGAGCTCATCCCCCTCACTAAAGCCAAATGCAATCCCAATGTCTCCAGGGACAATGGAGCAAGGTGGCCAATGAGAGCCCTGGAGGAAGTTTTGAAAGCCTTACCCCCATTTGCCTGTGCCCACCTGTGTTCAGGTCAGGGCCTGCAAGGCCTCCAGCTCTTCATATCCACCACCCTCCCTTTTAGAGGCCAAGAGGCTCAGAATCCATCCCACTTAATTTTCTCATTACTTTCTATCCACCTGCTGCTCCTCCCCCAGGCTGTGGCCTTTTAACCCTGTTTCTGCCTGTTTGGCCTCTTTGAGCCTTCCAGGGCCCTCCCTGAATGTGCTGACAAGAGGGGACAATACCTGAGATCTACACACTTAGGGGGCCTTGGCCCCTCACTACCCGCCTGGCTTCCTCTGAGATCCTGGTCCCACGGGCTCCCTCGAGCTGATAGGGACACAGAATAGTTGCAGCAGGGCTCCTCCAGGGGCCAAATTTCTAGGGAAAGGAAGGGGCACAGCCACCGGAGGTCTGGTGGCACCCAGAGCTCTCTCTTCCTCCTCCAGATTCTCCCTGCAGATGTCCTCAGAGGCTCCACTCAGAGTGGGGTAGAAGGGGGTGTCTGTGGTGTCCAGCCTGGGTGCTGGGGACCTGGTTTGGTGCAGAGGTGGGAGCAAGCCCTTTCCTCCCAGGCAGACACTGGACCTGGCTCCCTCGGCCACCCAGCAGGAACCACACATACCCCAGAATGCCTAGGTGCCCTGGACCACTGCCTTTCCTTCTGGTGGGGCACCCGGTCTGAATCAGGGTCTTCTGGCCTCTCATCCTGGCATTGGGGGCCTCCTCCCTCTTCCCCAGCCCCCCAGGCTTTGATCCCCAAGCCTGGGCTAGGAGAGGCCAGGCAGGCACAAGTCTGGTCTCTGGGGACAGAGGATCCCTAGGGAGTGGCTGCTGTTCTGCTCCACAGAAGGAAGAAGAACGTCTGCAGCCAGCCCAGGCCAAAAAAAGAATAAAAAAGTGACAATCTCAGAAAACAATGTCGTAACCTTTGGGAGGGGGCTAACAGAGCCCCATACTTTGCCTAGTACCCTTCCTATCTGCTGCTATCCCAACTGGTCTCCTACAAGGCAGGCCAGGCCTCCCAGCCCCTAGTGACCCTCACTCCCTACCCACCTCCCTTGCCTAGCCTCTGCCGGTGGGGTTGTCTGGAGGAACCTATCTCCTCCTCAGGGCCCCTTCATCCAGCCTCTGACGCCCCCACCCTCCCTTAAATTAAAGAAGTCTCCCTGGCACCCCACTCACCGGCGACCCAAAGGCGGGTGGGGGCGGGAGGGCCGGATTCGGTCTGGCCCCACCCTGGCTGTCGAAGGGGCGTGCTCTGCTGTAGTGGGGACTCAGTCAGACGGCAGGAGGTACTCCTGCGGCGTTCCAGGAGGGAGGCTGGCGCGGAGCCTCGCTTGGCGAGGGCCGGGGGGCGCAGCGCCTCCCCTGCGGCTTGCCCAGCGGAGGGCTGCTGGACCCAACGGGTGGGGCAGACGAGGACTGGGTGTCGTGTCGTGTCCCGCCCTGCCCCTCCCCACCAGGCTCGGGGGGCGGGAGACGCGGAAACCTGGGTTCTTCCGGCCCCCACCTTTGAGCAATCACTTCCCCCGGCTCTGAACTGCAGAAAAAGGGGAACTCTCCAGCGATGCCCCCTCCCCCACGCGCGGGGGCTGGGCTCGGGTCTCACTGCAGCCCAGGTCCACGTGCGCGAGAAAGGGCAGTGCCCGGCGCCGGCTCTGAGGCTCCTGCCCGCTCCCCCACAGCCTGTCCGCCGTCCTGCGATGCGCGCGCACCCACCGCCGCGCTCCCGCGCTTCCCCGCCTCTGCGGCCCGTGCGCTCCGAAGTCCGGCGGGCCGCGGGGAGGGGGCGCAGGAGCAGTGCGCAGGCGCCTGGCGGCACTTCCCCAAAGCCAGGGGCCGGGACTTCCTTGAGCGGGTAGGCGCCGGCCCGCCCAGCTCGCTGCGCCCCGCCCAGGGCCCCGTGCCCCATCCGCCCGCACCGAGGAGCTGAGTGGCCCGGGCCTTGAGGCGCGTGGAACGCGGCCGGAGCGGGCACCCCACTTTGCTTAGCGTGGCCCTTCTGGCCTTTTCATTCATGCGGGCATCCAACGCAGGGCAGGAGAGCCTGGGCCCTATGTGCGCCTTGGTCCCTGGGAGTACTTCTGTCCTGCTTGGCCAACCCCTCGCCTGAATCTCTTGTAAAATGGGGTCAAGAGCCTGTCACCTTTGGTGGAACTTCTCAAGAAAGGAGATTCCTGTACTGCAGGATGGGTACCGGGGTGCAAGTTCTTGCATCCAGTGTGAATACAATGTTTGGTAGGGTCTGGCTGAGTCCCTCCCTGTTTCTCCTTCAAGCTGCCCCAAGATATACTAAAGTTTAAAGCCCCACTGTCCCCTTTGCCACCAATGCCTGTCCCTTTGGCCAACTCTTCTGGCCCTTTTATAAGTGAGTACAGATGTGGGTTATTTGTTATCCCAGCATGCTTTGGCCCTGTGTCAGATTAGCCCTTACCCTGCCCTGGAAATGGTCTGCGGAATGCCTTTGGTCTCCCTGGGCTGCCAGGCTCCTGCCCTGCCCAGTGTAGGTAGGCAACCTGGCCAGCTCCAGGTGTTGGGGTCCTCTGCACAAATGCCTTCTAATTGCACAAGTAGTTGTATAGAACTCCGAGAAGCAAACTGGAGACTTCACAAAAGCTCTTCATTCCATTGGAAGTATCTGGGGTCCTCCGAATGCCAGGCAGTGAGCCAGATACACCAGCTTGGACCTAATGGCTGTTATCTGAGATAGGGGGTGGGGAGCAGACAAGAAATGGTTGGGTGAGAGGTGGGAGGGCTGAGGGCAGGGCACTGCATAGTGCTCACGCCTGGCTGAGCTGAGAACAGCTGGGTGGCCATGCTGCCTGCAGTGCTGTGTGCCCAGGGCCTGGTGATTTAACAGAAGTATGCTCTGGCTGTCCTGTTAATGGGCTAGTAAAAACAGGACAGAGGCAAGGAAGCCAATTTGGATGGAAGCAGCTGTTGCTTTAGCCTAGACACCAGTTTTGAGGGGAAGGTACAGGTGAGGACCAGCAGGCCCAAAAGAGATGTCCAGCACCTGGTGAAGGCCACCTAACTGGCTGATCCCGAAGTGGTTGTCATTGCCTTTCCACTGTAGGGAAATGCAGGTGTGGGGAGCTGACAGTGGGTGGGGGCCCAAATACTTTCCACCCTCTCATGTTACTTTGTATCCCCTCTTCCTCCATGTCCTCTGACCCCTCAGGCCTGCTCTCCACTCCCTTGGCCTGCACAGAGCATCCCCTTAAGTGAGGGAGGAACCCAACAGTGAGGGAAGGCATGTGGTGATGGGGGTGGGACTTAAAGCCAGGGCCCTCTGCTCCAGACCCCCTCACAGACCACAGTACATTGGGCCTTAGCCTGCAGGCTTTGCTCCCCTGTAGAGCTTCTGCTGGTAGAAGTGTCTTCTTCCCTAGTTGCCTCTGCAGACCCAGCTCTTCTCAGGCATGAGGATCAAGGGGTGCCTGGCACAGAGCTGTCTCTGGCCCCTTTCTTGCAGGTCTTCTTAGGGTGCAAAGCTTTGTCTCTGGTCCTCACATGCCTCTACACTTGTCATTTTGGGCACTGCCCTGAGTCCCTGAGTAGCCCCATGGTGTTCATCTTAAACATGAAGGCATGAAGGGCAGAGAAGTGATGAAATGATGCGTGACTTTATTAACCAGACAAGATCCTCCTGGTCACTCAGTACGTCCCTAGAGACAAAATCCTGGCGTACAAACTGCAGGGAGCTTGACTGGAGGATCCCAGGGCTGGTTGTCATCCCGAGACACAGATTGTCTTCTGAGGCACGTCCCTATTTATTTGCCTCTGCCCAAGCCCACCATCTCCCTGCTCCCCTTTGTCCTTCCTCCTGACTCCTCCCCTTTCTTTCTCTTTGCTCTTCCTAGGAGGCCTGCTGACTTGTGAGCTCTGCAGAATGTGGGCATGGGTCAAGGCCCAGGGCAGCAAAGACCCAGAATAGGTGAAGGATAAGGTGCTGAGGGGATATTGGACACAGGTCCCCATGGGGCTAGGGATTGACTGCCAGTGAGCAGATTTCCTTGCAGAACCTTAGCTCTGACCTCTGCCTTCCCTCCAGRTCTGTTCTCTGCTCCAGGCAGAGCCAGTGGGAGCCCCCTGGTATCTTCTGGTTCCTTATAGTTCCCAACTCTGTGTAGTCCTCTGGGCAGGAGGGACAGGGGAGAGGAGACCAAGAGGAGCCCCAGGTTCTGCAGAACCCATCAAGGATACAAGTAAGAGCTGTCAAGAAACTGGGCAGAGGTCTTATAGGACTTGGGCTTGTTTGTCAAAATGGGCTGGGGTGATTTCCTTACTGTGCTTGGTGTGTGTGTGTGTGGGGGGGGGCTGGGGGAAGGAAGCAGGGTGTGTGTGTGGGGGTACTGTTCAGGGTGAGAGAAGGCTAGAGGGTAGATTTTCTGTTCCAGAAGGTAGGACGCCCTGGGGGTATCTTCCACAGTCTCTGGGCATGGCTGGCTTTGGTTTGTGGTCACTCACCCTTGCAGAATGCACCCCTCCATGGGATGACCAGCACTGAAGGCAGCCCTGGTTGATGGGGTGCTGGTGTTGAGACAGGCTCTTTCTCTTGCCCWCCAGTCTGGGGGCCTCTCATGTCTGCCACCATGGCACTGGTTGCCTGATGGGGGCAGGCTGGGAGTGGGGGATCTGAATATTCCCTTACTTTGACTCCTGCCAACTCACATTTTACTTGTTTTGGGGGGCCCACTCCTATACCATGATGTCTAACTGCAAATGTTGGGAGAGACAGCATTTATATTCGCCCCTTCCCTGTGGGGGTCCAGAAAGACCAGAGAGCCCTCAGAGAAGAACTTTATGTAAGGGGAGGGTGTGGGGGCACACTTGGGTCACTGTCACCGTGGGAAGATGCTGCCATCCACCGCCTCTTCCAGAATGGTCTCCACGCGCCTCCGCTGCAAGGAGAGGGGCTGGGGTCGGTGTGGGAGGAGGCGAGGGGTCCTCCCACCCACCCAGGGCTTGCCAGAACCTCTTGTCGATCCAGGGGATCCGGAATCCGTGTGGGTTTCAGCTGTGGCGGCAGGAATGTCTCCAGTCTGATGGCGGCGCGCGCCGAGTCCTGCCGCTGGATCAGGAGCGCAATTTCCTCTGCCTGCGGGCCAAAGCCGGCTGAGCGGCGCCGAGCCTCAGCTGTACCCACCCTCTGCCCACCCCTGCGAGCAGGTGGTCTTCCCTATGGGTGGTGCCCCCGCCCTTGATTCCAGGCCCACCCGCATTCGGGTGTAGCGCAGTCGCAGGGCGCGGACTCGCCCGCGAGCCTCCGCTGCCTTGAGGACGCCCAGCAGCCGGTTCCAGCGCTCGGTGGGTAGTTCGCACTGCGTCCAGGCGCGGGGGTCGGGCATGAGGTACTCCAGCTCTACCGACTCGCGCGGAAAGATGGAGGCGGCTGCACCCACGTCCTGGAGCAGGTCGCCGAAAAGCAGGTGGCGGTGTCGCTGCGTGGGGCTCATGGCGGCCAGCCCCTCCAGCGTCAGCGTCCAGCCTGGCTTGGTCGCGGGCACCCGCTTGGCGCGCTCCTCACGAGGCCCGCTTCCTGACGCGCTCTTCCCCACCTGCTCACTCGAGCATTTCCCTGCGGGCGGCGGCATCCTCTGGCCTGAGGAGGGAAAGGGACACCCCGTTTGCTGTCCAACCTTAAACCGGTCCCACCGCGCGGTCCAGCTTCCCCCCCCCCCCCGCTGGATTTGTCGCGGCAGACTTCAYTGGCGAACCTTTGGCCTTTTTGAACACAGGTCGAGGCCAATGCGCTCAGCCGGGTGGTTGACCCACTGCCTCGGGCAGTCAGCGAGGACTTCCTGATCCATTCAGTTTTAGAAATTGCCCTTTCTGCCCTACAGAAGGATTGAACTGAGAAAATGCTGAGACACCCCCTGCCCCAACCAGGCGATCTCAGGCCTACCCAGGGATAGAGACCACAAGGGACTTCCCTGGGTGAGGCCTATTGACCCCCATTTCTGCGGTCACCTGTCAGCATCCCACTAGAACCCCGGGGACTGGTCTTGTGGTTTGGGGATGACCCCGCCAGGCCTAGATGGGTGTGCACGCCTGTGTAGGTGTACATTTTTCTGTGGGGGGTATCTTTGTGGCTCTGTGTGTGTATGGCTGCATGTGAGTGGATGGAGGCTCTGAGTCAACTGCTTTAGGGCGGTCGCCATCATCTTGGCTTGACTCCTGCTGGGCTGAGGCAAGGGGAGCAGAGCTCAGAGAAGAGGGGAACGCCCAGCGTCCTTCTGGTCCCAGTCGCCCCATCTCACCCTCGGGCCAGATCCTGCTCACCGTGGGTCAGGAGCAGAGCCGGGGACCGCCGGCCCGCCTCCAAATTTCAGTTTCCCACCCGCGCCCACTCGCCGGACCTTCCCACGCACGCACCCCAGTTTACTTTTAGACGGTTCTCTGTGGGAATCTTCGGTGCTTGTTGATGCGGTTGCCGGGCAACCCGAGCCCTGCCCCACCTCCAACCGGGTGGGGGCGGGGCGGCCCCTCAGGCTGAAGTGACCGCTGTGCTGTACATACCGGCGCACCATTTTGGGGGCCACGGACTCACCATCTGGGCGCGGGAGAGGGCTTTGGGCCTAACTGCAACCATACTTTTAAGGCTGAGATCCTTTCCCATCAGTGCCCATGAGGCACTGGGACAGAATTCAGGGCCCCTCATCCTACCCCTGGGTGATTGGTCCTAGATTTTTGGTGGGGTTCTTTTTTTTTTTTTTTTTTTTTTTGTCTTTTTTGGAACTGGGGATCGAACCCAATGCTTTGCCACTGAGCTACATACCAGCCCGGTCCTAGATTTTCATAATCTATTTGTCATTTATTAATTTTATGATACAATGACAATTTTAGTTTCTCAGTTTATTAATTCTGTAATGATTCATGCACATATCATATTCACATACTCATTCCACAGTTTAGTTAGACTAAGATTAGTGCAGATTTAATCATAGTGTATTCCGGTCTGCATTACTTCCCAATCCTATCATACCTTGTTCCTAGGTAGGCAGATGGTACCTTCTGGAGTTCAGAGCCAGAACTCTACAGGTGCAGCTTCCTGGCTGAGGGGCCGGTCACTGAGCATCCCAGGGCCTTCCTGATGCTGACCCCCTCCTGTGTGTGCTTGGGCATCAGCACTGTCTGGGAAGGCGCTGCACACAGGGGGTGGGGAGGTTTTACCGTGGTCCTTCTGGGATGGGGTCACAGGGAGCTGGAGAGAGTTCTGTCCTGTCAGAAGGGACTTGTAGCTTTCCCTTGGTATAAATAAGAAGCATTGATGCAGGGAGGGGAAGAGGAGGAGCAGGAGGACTCCCTGMCCCTGCACTGGGGCTGGGCGCCAGGGCTGGCACCAGGGAGGCATGGGGGTGGGTGCGCCCTTTGCAGATGCTGTGTTCATTCTGGCACCAACTCTGCCCAGATGCAGGTGACGTCCCACATGGCCCTGTTGGCTCCACTGCGACTTGTGGGCATGTGCTCCTTTCATGTGTGACATTCATGTCTGGGCCATCCCTGATTTCCTTGCATGCCTTGTTTTGCCTGTGTATGGCATGTGCACATAACATGTCCCCTGATGATCTTTGTGTGACTCGTATGTTCTGGTCAGGCCCAGGCTCTGCCTGCACCCCTCTTGAGGGCTCACTGAGTTCTGGTCAGGGTAAGAGAAGTCTGCCATTTCTTCTGTACTGCCAGTCCCCCTCTGTGGGAAGGTAGTCTGCATCTCATCCTGGTCACCAACCATCAGATGACAAGCCTGTCCTCCCACCTGTGATTGTATCTATGAGGGGCCAAGAGGCCTCCTTCGTCTGGCCTTTGTGCCAACCTCCATGGAGACTTTCACAGGTGTCCGCTGAGAGAGCTCACAGGCCTGCCTGCAGCACTGCAGCAGTTGGTGTGGAGACCCTGTGGTGGGCCGAGGGCTCCAGGGCTGGGGTCAGGGGCAAGGCAGGGAGGGCTCCCTGGAGGGGCAGGACAGGAGCCCCCTGGGGCAGGACCCATGTGGGTGTGGCAGCCCCAGGGACATGTGAGATAATCAGACTGGTGTGTCCTGTGGCTCTGCTCTGCCGACCCTCACAGTACCTACGGCATCCCCTTCTCCAGGACAGGGTCTGGGCTGGGAGGCAGCAAAGGCCATTAGGAAATGAGGCTCTGAAGATGGGCAGGCAGGAAGGGGCAGCTGGAGTGGGAACTCTGGGCTCACCTAGGGAAGGAGCTGCAGGAATCTGAGCCTCCCCTGGCCCAGAGGTCTGGGGTCAGCCTTGTCTGGAGAGTATGTGTGAGAGTGTGTGTCTCCTGGGTGTTAGAGAGCCTCGGCTGGTGTTTGCCTATTCCCACGGGCATCTGTGCTTTCTCTGAGTCTGCCAACATGCCTGTGTACACCTTGTAATGGTTTGCATGTATGTGGCTCTGGTGTGCATCCCTAAGCATGTACCTGTGTCTCTGTGTATTTATCCCATGCTTGTCTAGGCATCTATGTACATGTTTGCTGGTCTGTGTTCCCCAAATGTCCATGTATTCCTGAGTCTCAGCTGCAGTGAAGATGCAGAGACAAATCCTGGGGGACAGCTGGGGATGCTGAGTCCTGGGGCATCTGATTGCTCTGGCCTCTCCTGATTTGACAGGTATCCTAGCAACACTGTTGTCAGTTGCCTAGCAACCAGATCCCCATCCTTGGAAAAGAAGCAGGGTCTGGCTGTGTGGGGGGAGGTCTAGCTCTCCTTCACATCCTGTGTAGGAAGAGCAACCCTATGACTGTTCAGTGCAGGGGTCACCCACATGGCCTTGACTTGTAACCTTTCATTTCAGTGTGCTGATGACCTCTGTGCTGGCAAGGAGGCAGATCCATGGGAGTGATTCAGCTGTGTGAATGCCAGGGCCCTTCTCTGGGGCCCAACTGTGCAGATGCCCTTGGTGTGGCTCCATGTGACAAGCAGACCTGGGCCTTCCCAGCCTGCCAGGTGGACAGGGGTCTTTACCCCTCTGAGGTTTCACATTCTCATCTGTTGGAGAGATGTGCATGGCAGCAGCCGTGTGTGCTGGGGAATGTGCTTGTTTGTTCAGGCATGGTGTACAGTAGGCACAAGCAGCACACAGTAGGTGTGGTTCCTGTGCTGGGTGCTGGGTTCAGCACCCTCCTGCTTGTTTACAACAAGGCTCTGAGCTCTGAGAACTGGCTGGGCTGGACGTTGCTATCTGCCTGCCCACTGAGGCTCTGCCAGCTGTGGAGCCTGGCCGAGGGGTGCTGTTGTAGGCAGGGAGGCCATCCAAGGCTGGTCTGGACCAGGCTGTCCAAGGCTGTGACTGCATGGGTTGGGGGCCCATGTCTGCCCGAGTGGGTCTGTCTGTATGGTTCTCCCTGAGTTCCTGTTCCTGGGACTCTGTTGTCTGAGCCTGTGTCCTCAAAGGTGTCTGAGTTCTGGTCTGTGTCTGCATCTGTGTCTGTGCACATCCATGTCATGTGTCCTGGCCTGTGTGTGGGTCTGTTGGGTCTGTGGGTCCATCTCTTTATGTGTGCCCTGATCTCATGTCTGTTTCCATGTGGTATGGGTCCTCCTTCCATAGACCCCTCCTCCAGCCTGCGCAGCCCCTCCWGCTCTGGAGCAGCAGCCTCCTCCCCCTCCCCCTCCCCCAGCTGCCGCACTTGCTGCACTCGCCACTGCGTCTAGTCTGGCGTCTGCTGGGAAGCAGCAGCTACGCGGCAGCCCCATCCAGACCCTGCGCTGAGACAAGGAGCGAGCCACCTAGCCCCACTCTGCTTCAGCCTCTCCATCCATCTGCCCAGGGCTGGGGTCTCCTCAGTCCCCATTCCCAAAGAAGTCGTGGAGATAGGGCCTGAGGTGCTAGAGGTAAGTGGGGGGCCCTGCTCTGCAGGGCTGGGAGGGGCGGGAGAGGCTGTGCCCGGCTGTTCCTGGGCATGTCTGAGGGGCGCTAGCGTCTGTTCTGTGTGTGCATGGGGGTGGTTTGGGCATTTTTGTGTTCATATGTGTGCATCACATCTCCTTTGAACATACGTGGCTGTGTTCCGAGTCCCTGTGGGTGGATGTGTGTCCTTGTGTAACTGTCTCCTTGCAGTCCACGTTGGAGTCTGTCAACCAAACGCGAGGTACCTTGGTGGGCATGAGTGTCTCTGTGTTCTGTGTCCCTCTCTTGCACACACCCTTGTGTCTCCATGTGTGTCTGTGTCTAAGCACAGCCTGTGTCCTCACGTGTGTGCTTTGTCCTGCATGTGTGCTTTGGTGTCTGCATGCCTGTTTGGGCTGCGCCTGCTGTGCTCTGCGTCCTGTGTGGGTGTGTGCCTTGCAACATGGTCACTTGTTTCTGTGCCCTGTCCCAGGTCCTATACAGACTGATTTTTCAGGGCAGCAGAATGGAGTCCCTCTTTCCTGCCCCACTCTGGGAGGTCCTCTACAGCAGCCACCTTCAGGGCAACCTGTCCCTCCTGAGTTCCAACCACAGTGTGATGCCCCCCCACCTGCTGCTCAATGCCAGCCATGGCTCTTTCCTGCCCCTTGGGCTCAAGGTCACCATCGTGGGGCTTTACCTGGCCGTGTGCATCGGGGGGCTGCTGGGGAATTGCCTCGTCATGTACGTCATCCTCAGGTAGGCGGGGCCCCGTTTCTCTGTGAGTCCCATACAGCCACAGATGGGAGACTGAGACAGGAGGCTGTTTGGGATGGACCTGAGCAGATGGAGATATCTTGCTGCTTCCATTAAGTTCCTTTTCTCCCTGTCCAGGGAGCGGGATCTATCCTGAGGCCCTGGATGCTTAGTCCTTCCCCCAGCCTGTCTGTCCAGGTAGTGACGTCACCTCCCTAGACCCTGGTTTGAGCTGTGCTGAGCTGACTGTGAGTGACCTCGTGGGCTCCATAGGGACCCTAGGAGTTGGCCCTCCTCAGGGCTTGCCAACCTCTCCCACAGGGACAGGCCTCCCTGAGGCCCTCTCCTCTGAGCCTGGATCTGCTGGTGCTCAGAGATGGGAGAGCTTGGGGACCAGAGGAGATGCTAGTGCCAGGTGGTTAGGATGGTGGCACAGCTGGGTGGCCATGGGGGCACTGTGGGGGCATTGTGGGGGCCACTGTGAGGTGGGTGAGGAGCCCTTCACGTGGCACATACCCTGGGCACATGTGGCAGAAGGGGAGGGATTTCTGGGCTGGGGAGATGAGGGACCCTGTGTTCCTCTGGATGGGAGAGAGTCGAGTGCACTGCAGACAGTGAGTGGGTCTTGAAAGGAGCCTTGGGAGACTTGAGCAGGAAAACAAGAAACCAGTGAGTTTTTACTGGCCCAGGGTGTTCTCTCTGACCCAGAAAGAGGTGATTCTGAAGACATGCTCAGGGCTCTGAAGCCAGCGTCCCTCCATAGGGCCTCACAGGCTCCCAGGAAGCTGCTGGGTAGCAGTGGTGTCGGTGGAGGCAGAACAGGACGGTGGAGTGTCCAGTCCCTGACTCCCCAACTGTCCTCTGAGCATCCCTGACAAACCCCATTTCTCTGTGAGCCTTGTTTCTCCATCCAGAAAGTGGGAAGGACAGGCCTCAGAGCCACRTGTATGTGTCTGGTGTGTGTGTGTGAGAGAGAGAGAGATGCAGGGTTGGATCAGGGGAAGAGCAGCTTTGCCCTTCACAGTACTGACCTCTAGGGAGGACCCTAGGGAGGGTCCTGCATGACCCACAGGCCTCTGCGGCCAGAAGTGCAGCCGCCCGGGGCAGCCATGTACCCTGACCACCTTCCTGCTGACAGCACCTCCCTGTGTCCCCTGGTACTGGGGCATTGCAGCCACTTCCTGGATGAGAGTAGACATGGAGGCCTTCTTGACCCCCAGTGTCCTCAGAAAGACATGCTGAGGAGCTGCCATGTCCACACCACTCAAGTGGTGGCACAGAGTGCGTTTTGAGCCACCAGACTGGGGTGGCTTCCAGGAGTTAAAACACCTGGTTCCAAGCCCCACTCGCTTTTTATCAGCTCCAAGGCCTTAACAAGTTTCATAGACTGGGTATGGTGGCACATGGCTGTAATCCCAGCTCAGGAGGCTGAGGCAGGAGAACTGTGAGTTGGAGGCCAACCTGGACAACTTAGTGAGACCCTGTCTTGAAAAATAAAGGGCTGGGATGCACTCAGTGATAGAGTACCCCTAGATTAACTCACCAGTACCAAGAAAAAAAAAAAAAGGAAAAAGAAAGCAAGCTACTTAGGGCATCTGAGCTTTAGTTCTCTCCCCCATACGGCGGGAATCCAATCGCATCTCTGTGAATCTTCAATGAGATGAAATCCATGGAGGAGCTTGACACAGGGAGGTACCATCATTGTCACTGTTGTTCGCATTGAGGTTGCAACTAGGCCTCTTTGTGCTTATTCTTTTTCTTTTGGTGCCAGGAATTGAAACCAGGGCAGTTAACTCGTGAGCTATATCCCAAACCCTTTTTAATATTTTATTTAGAAACAGGATCTCTCTGAGATTCCTAGGGCCTTTCCACGTTTCTGAAGCTGCCTCTGAGCTCAGCGTCCCCCTGCCTCACCCTCTTGAGCCGTGGGATCGAGGCATGCACCACTGCACTGGCCGTCTTTGTGCTGCTGCTCCCACCCCCCAATATTTTTAGTAGTAGATGGACACAATGCCTTTATTTTGTTTATTTATTTTTATGTGGTGCTGAGGATCAGACCCTGGCCTCACACATGCCAGGCAAGTGCTCTACCCCAGCCCCCATCTTTGTGCTTATTCTTGATCTCTAATAAACAGAACTAAACCCCAGGTTATTTTATGGCAACTAAATCGACATGGAATATTGTCACCTCTGGTGCTTTAACTGCCACCACCACCACCATCATCCTTACCATCATCATTATCACTACCAACACCAACACCAGCCTCATATCTCCACTTCACTGTCATCGCCATGATCATCGTCACCACCATCACCACCATTACCATCATCACCACCATCGCCGCCCCCACAACCATTCTCCCCACCACTATCACAACCACTTATTCATTCAACAAGTGTTTATTACTAATTTGCAATTTTTGCAGCCCTGTTCCAGGTGCCTGGATACAGTTGGACCCTGTGAGCACCCCTCCTGTCCCTGTCACCACTTCCTGTTTCCATTGCTAGACAGTAGTGTGGACTAGGAGGTCTTTGATGTGATTTTACATACTTTGGAGCTCTTACACACCTCTGGTAGCTGAAGGGTTAGGAGTTGAGTCCGTGAGGAGTCTTGAGGGAAACCCGGGGGACAGGCAGGTCTTTCTCTTACGATTCAGGCATGTGCTCTGCACCCCACAGTCTTTAGGGTCTGGAGCTCTCTGTAGGTGTCAGAATCCCTTCCTGAAGCTGCCTCTGAACTCCGAGTCACCCTGTTACAATGTGGGTTTCCAGGCTCCATTCCCCAGACGGGCTCGGTGGGCCTAGGATGGGGTCCAGGACCAATTCCTTGCCTTTCCTGCCAGGGCTAGTCTAAGTGGCCAGTGGAACCTTTCTTCTCCCTGTCCTCTCTTCAGGCACACCAAGATGAAGACAGCTACCAACATATACATTTTTAACCTGGCTCTGGCAGACACCCTGGTCCTGTTGACCCTGCCCTTCCAGGGCACAGACATCCTACTGGGCTTCTGGCCATTTGGGAATGCCCTGTGCAAGACGGTCATTGCCATTGACTACTACAACATGTTCACCAGCACCTTCACCCTGACGGCCATGAGTGTAGACCGCTACGTAGCCATCTGCCACCCGATCCGTGCCCTTGATGTCCGGACGTCCAGCAAGGCTCAGGCTGTCAATGTGGCCATATGGGCCCTGGCCTCCGTGGTTGGCGTTCCTGTTGCCATCATGGGCTCAGCACAGGTGGAGGATGAAGGTCAGTGGGTGGCCCTCCTCTCTGTACCAGGTTCCCCATGGTTCCCAGCAGCCCCTTCTGATCTCGTTTTTCTCCCTGCAGAGATCGAGTGTCTGGTGGAGATCCCTGCCCCCCAGGACTACTGGGGCCCCGTGTTTGCTGTCTGCATCTTTCTCTTCTCCTTCATCATTCCCGTGCTCATCATCTCTGTCTGCTATAGCCTCATGATCCGGAGGCTGCGTGGTGTTCGTCTGCTCTCGGGC